TTGGGACACCCTCTCCCGACCTTCGGCGGGACACCATTGGTGCCAGCGCGGGAGGTTAGGAGTTTGGGTGTGCTCCTGGACTCCTCTCTAACGATGGAGGCCCAGGTAGCAGCCACTGCCAGGTCAGCCTTTTACCATCTGCGGCTGGCCAGGCAGTTGGCTCCTTATCTCGGCCGTGAAGACCTGGCCACTGTGATCCATGCGACGGTCACCTCATGGCTGGACTACTGTAACGCTCTCTACTTGGGGCTGCCTTTGTCGCAAATCCGGAAGCTGCAGCTAGTGCAGAATGCTGCAGCGAGGCTGTTGATGGGTCTCTCCAGGCGAGACCACATCCGACCAGTGCTGCATGCGCTGCACTGGCTGCCTATAGCATACCGGATTCGTTTCAAAGTGCTGGTGCTTACCTTTAAAGCCCTGAATGGCCAGGGTCCGGCCTACCTAAGGGACCGTCTCTCCCCGTATATTCCCCCAAGAGCACTGAGATCGGGGAATCTCCATCGCCTGGAGGTTCCAGGCCCCCGGAAAGCGAAGCTGACCCAAACCAGGACCAGGGCGTTTTCGGTGGCGGCTCCCACCTGGTGGAATGAGCTCCCGGAAGAGAAGATAAAGTGGATAAGGGGAGAATAATGTTATAAACCACTCGACATCCCCAGTTCCGCAGGGCCTGCAAGACGGAGCTCTTCCGCCAGGCCTTTGAGGGGGAGCCGCCGCCGCCACTGTTCCATCAATGACATTTCCAACCATCTGCCCCATATAGCTGGGGCAGATGTCGCCCAATGGAAGCTGGGGGAACATTCTTCCTAGTGTCTCCGTTGTAAACAATCTGCCGCCAATGTGTGGATGTTGACCATCTCGGATTTTTATGGAAATCAATTAGCACCAAATTTTATGTTAGATATATTGTTTTATTATGCTGTTGTTTGTACGTATTTTTAACTTTTGTAAGCCGCCCCGAGCTGAATACTGGATGGGGCGGGATATAAATCCCAAAATAAATAAATATAAATAAATAAATAAACCAAGACCATTAAAGCGGGCTAAGTTGACATCACCATATCTCAAAAAGGACAATGGACACCGTACCTCAAAAAGGAACCTGCAGAGCCAATAAAAGGACAGAGGAGGGTAACCAAGACGATGAGGGGGTTGGAGCACCTTCCCTTGGAGGAAAGGCTGAAGAGTCTCTGGGATTTCTCAGTTGAGAAATAAGACGACTAAGGGGGGGATGACAGAGGTCTATAAAATTACGCACAGGGTGGAGAGAGCGGACAAGGAGAACTTCTTCGTCTTCCAAAAGACTAGAATTCAAGGGCATCCAATGAAGCTGATGGGCAGCAGGTTCACAACAGGCAAAAGGAAATACTACTTTACACAGAGATTAATTATTTGTTGTCAGGGGATGTAGTGATAGCCACAGGACTAAATCCCTTTAAAAGGGGATTAGATAGATTCATGATGGATAGGTCTATCAGTGGCTACTATCCCTGGTGACTGAGGGGAACTTCCGCTTTCAGAGGTACTAAAGCGCTGAATCCCAGAACCAGGAGGCAACATCAGAGGAAGGCCTCGGCCTCTATGCCCTGTTGTTGGCTATCCAGAGGAACTGGCTGGCTACTGAGTGGGACAGGAGGCTGGACTAGACGGATACTGGTATGATCCAGCAGGGCTCTTCTAATGTTCTCATGAAGGCCTCGGTCTCTATGCCCTGTTGTTGGCCCTCCAGAGGAACTGGCTGGCCACTGTGTGAGACAGGATGCTGGACTAGAGGGACCAGTGGTATGATCCAGCAGGGCTCTTCTAATGTTCTGATGAAGGCCTCGGCCTCTATGCCCTGTTGTTGGCCATCCAGAGGACCTGGCTGGCCACTGTGTGAGACAGGATGCTGGACTAGATGGACAAGTGGTATGATCCAGCAGGGCTCTTCTAATGTTTTCATGAAGGCCTTAGCCTCTATGCCCTGTTGTTGGGCCTCCAGAGGAACTGGCTGGCCACTGAGTGTGAGAGAAGATGCTGGATGGGATGGACCACTGGTCTGATCCAGCAGGGCTCTTCTTATGTTCATATGGGGGGGGGGTTCATTGGCAGATTCATATATTGATCTATTCAATAAGGTTACACAGCTGTTTGCCCTACATGATAGATGCAAACAATCCAACGTCTTGGCCCTGTGCTATGAACCTGATTTCAAAGTGAGTCCTCAGATCTGTTCCCATTTTCCCCCCTCTGGTAAGATTCGCAAGTGTCAAGTGGAAGCCTAATCAGTATTTTTCTTGTACTTCCAGGGGTCATTTCCTGCAGGAGTGCACAGGAGCGGCGCTCCGGCAGTAAAGAGCCCAGGGGGCGGGCACATGCAAGAAGCCCCACCCGCTGCTCCCAGCAGCCCTCAGTCAGAGCAAGAAGCAGCCAGGTAAGTTGCAGAGCCCCCCTGGTCCAAAACAGTCCAGTGGCACCTTTAAGACCAAGTTTTATTCAGGTACCAGCTCTCCCTCCTCTGTGAGGACAGATCTGCATGTTCCTCCCCCCCCCCCAATAGCTAGCAATCCAAAACAGTCCAGTGGAGCCTGAGCGGTGGGTGTTGCTTTCTGACACACTTCTGGTGATGTCAGGGGGTGTGGCATATGCAGATAGGTTATGCTAATACGTTATGCTAATGAGCTCCTGCACCTCTTTTTCTACAAAATGACCCCTGTGTACTTTCCACCTGATCAGAGTCCACAAGGAAGCAATGAAAGACAGGGTTAAAATTATAAAATGCTCTTCTGATGTTCTTATGATCCGAGTGAGTTTGTAGGTTCATATGGGACAAGGCGGTCCTTAAAGTTTGTGGGACCCAGGCCGCACAGGTCTTTAACCGTCTGTAGTGCATAGTTTCTAATGGAGTGTGAGCCCTCCAAGAGGTCATCTCAATCCTTCCAGTGTCTCAGAAACATTTCGGACAACCAACCTTCCTCCAGTGACGGGGGCAGTTCACTGACCTCACTGTCTTGGTGATCCTGTTGAGCTACTTTGCCTCTTTCCCATTTTTTGTGGCGGGTTTGACACCACCCTGATGAATTAAAGGCCCCCTTGTCTCTGCTGCACAACCTAGCAGTTCGAAAGCAAGAAATTGCAAGTAGATAAATAGGTACCACTTCGGTGGGAAGGTAACAGCGTTCCGTGCACCTTGGTGTTTAGTCATGCCGGCCACATGACCATGGAAACATCTTCGTACAGCGCTGGCTCTTCGGCTTTGAAACGGAGATGAGCACTGCAACCCTAGAGTCGGATTCGACTGGCTTTCGAGCAAGGGAACCTTTACCTTTTGTATCTGCTGCACAGGTGTCTAGTTTGGTTCAGCAGGTCTCAGCCAACGGCCCCTGCAATATAGAGGTGTGGACCTCCTTCCTAACAATAATTCTGCCTTTCTGGTCCTTCTGTGTGATGAAAAGGTCGGTCAGGGAATCTGGCTCTCTGCTCTATCTTGCATTGTCTGAGCTACTGCCTCAGTGATGCCAGGGGGAGTTCTTATATACTCTCTCATCCTGTGTGTGTGTGGATGGGGCTAACATCAGCCTGTTGGTTACTTCCAGGGCTCATTTCCTTCGGGAGCGCACAGGAGCAGAGCTCCAGCAGTAAGGAGCCCAGGGAGCGGGCACATACAACAAGCCCCGCCCCCTGCTCCCAGCAGCCCTCAGTCAGAGCAAGAAGCAGCCAGGTAAGTTGCAGAGCCCCCCTGGTCCAAAACAGTCCAGTGGCACCTTTAAGACCGCTTCGGCAGGCGGGCGGGGTAGAAATTTAATAAATAAATAAATAAATAAAATAGGACCAAGTTTTATTCAGGTTCAAGCTCTCCCTCCTCTGCGAGGACAGATCTGTACTGTCCCGTCCCCCCCAATAGCTAGCAATCCAAAAGAGTCCAGTGGAGCCTGAGCTGTCAGGGGGTGTGGCATATGCAAATGAGTTGTGCTAATGAGTTATGCTAATGTGCTCCTGCACCTTTTTACTACTAAATCCGGAAGCTGCAGCTAGTGCAGAATGCTGCAGCTAGGCTGTTGATGGGTCTCTCGAGGAGGGACCACATCCGGCCGGTGCTGCAAGCGCTGCACTGGCTGCCTATAGCATACCGGATCCGCTTCAAAGTGCTGGTGCTTACCTTTAAAGCCCTGAATGGCCTGGGTCCAGCCTACCTGAGGGACCGCCTCTTCCCGTATGTTCCCCCGAGAGCGCTGCGATCTGGGAGCCTGGACCTTCTTCAGGTCCCAGGCCCCCGGGACATCAAGCTCACCCAAACCAAGACCAGGGCTTTCTCGGTGGCGGCTCCTACCTGGTGGAATGAGCTCCCGGTGGAGATCCGGGCCCTGCGGGACCTTGTGCAGTTCCGCAGGGCCTGCAAGACGGAGCTCTTCCGCCAGGCCTTCGAGTAGGAGCCGCCGCCACTGCCACGATATCATCGCTGTGGCCGTTTTTCCATCTACCTGGCCTTGGGTAGGGAGAGATGCTGCCCTGAAGAGGAACATCACTCGGGCGTCCCGAACTTGGACATCATCAGCCGCAAATGAGAGTTGCCTATCTTGAGTCTCTGTTAGAATGTACTGTAGAGCACCAATTTTAATTCCTATTTATTATGTTTTAACGTTATGTTTGTTTTATTCTCGGCGTTTGCCGTCTGTAGCCGCCCTGGGCCACATGGGTAGGGCGGGATATAAATCCCAAAAATAAATAAATAAATAAATAAATAAAAAATGAGCCCTGGTTACTTCCAATCCACACTGACCCACTTTTGGTTGGATCAGCAAGCTCGATGCCAACTCTGCACCAGTCAGGCCAGCTTCCCCTTCACAAAAATTCAGTAAAGTTTCCCATCATGCAACTGCAGTGTGCTCTACATGGGGCTGCCCTTGACGACTGTCCAGAAGCTACCCAGTCATCCTTGGATGCTCTGCTTCCGTGGCCCCCGCCACCTGAGACTAGCTAGGTAGTGACCCGAGAAAGGGCCTTCTCCATCGTGGCACCTAAACTTTGGAATGCCCTCCCCAAGGAGATTCGTCTGTCTCCCTCTGTCAGTGCTCTTTCAGAGCTGTTCTCTCGAGAGCAGTCCTCGAAAGAGCTCTCTCAGCCTCACCTACCTCACGGGGTGTCTGTTGTGGGGAGGGGAAGGGAAAGGAGATTGTAAGCCACTCTGAGGCTCCTTCGGGTAGTGAAGAGCCGGGTATAAATCCAATCTCCATATCCATCATCATCATCTCCTCCTCCTCCTCCTCCTCCTCCTCCTCCCAGCAGGGGAAGACCTTTTTCTTTCATCTGGCATACCCCCAATAATGGTACTGTCCCTCCTCCTACTGCCGTGTGTTTACATGTTCTTAACTGAACTGTATAATCTTAACAGTATTTTTTTCATTCTTTAAACGTTTTAATGATTTTACGTTCACCGCTGAGTGGACCCTGATTTGATGGAAAGGCAGAATTAAAACGTTTTGAACAAATTAAAAAAACCAGACACGCTCGGGCTGCAGCTACCTGCTGGTTTCTCTTCCTCCTCGGAATCCTGCCCAAACGGATCTCCCGCCTCTTCCAGCCACGAGGAGGGCTCAGTTTTGGGAACCCGGAATTCTTCTTTAGGGGAGGAAAACAAAAACAAAACACAACGCTGAGTGTTTCCGGCATAACGAATTCCCGGCTTAGCCCATCTGCATAGCCTTATGACCATCATATAAAGATACAGTGATATATTTATTTGTTTATTGAAACGTTCGTGTCCTGCCTTTTCTCATGGTTCAAGATGGCCTACAATAATAGTTAAAAACATTTCCCATTAAAACCAAAAATAAAACAGCAAACCCCAAATCCCTCGCCCTTCCAAAGATGCCTGCTGTTCAAGCCCCACCCCCCAAGCCCTGGCAGGCCTTGCAGTAACAGCTGGAGATCTCTAGGGAGGGTCCCTCCCCTTCAGGGAGCCCACTCCACAGAGACAGAGCCATAATGGAAAGGCCTGGGTTCTGGTGGATGTTAAACAGGCCACCCTAAGTTCCTAGAGAGAGACAGTTCTAAGACAGCCAGTTTTGATGTAGTGGTTCGGAGCGCAGACTCTAATCCGGGCGAACCGG